GAAAAATCGGGGATTTTGGGGTTTCCCCCCCCCCCCCAGGATTTTTGGACCCTTCGGGAATTTTGGACCCTCTGGAAATTGGGGAATTCCCAGGAAAAATTGGGGAATTCCCAGGAAATTCGGGATCACGCCCTCTCATTTCCTGGGAATTTTTTGGGATTCCCTTGGAATTCCTGGGAATTTTTTGGGATTTTCTGGGAATTTTTTTGGGATTTCCGGGAATTTTTTTGGGGGATTTTTCCCATCGGAGCCCCCAAAAATTTGGGAATTCCGCCCCTCCCCCCCCTCAGGCCGCCCGTCCCAGCGCTCCCAGTAATCCCAGTGGCACCAGTAAGGGGTTGAGGGGGGGGGAGGGGCCCCGCAGGGACCCCCAGAGCCCCCGGAAGTGATTCCGGAGCGATCCCAGTGCTCCCAGTGCTCCCAGTTGGGCCGGCAGCGATCCCAGTAAGGCCAAAACCACGGCGGATTCTGCGGGGGGGGAAGGGGAGAGGGAGAAACCAGTTTGGAACTGGGAATGGACCAGTTTGAACTGGGAATGGACCAGTTTGGAACTGGGAATGGACCAGTTTGGGACTGGGAATGGACCAGTTTGGGACTGGGAATGGACCAGTTTGGAACTGGGAATGGACCAGTTTGGGACTGGGAATGGACCAGTTTGGGACTGGGAATGGACCAGTTTGGGACGGAATGGACCAGTTTGAACTGGGAATGGACCAGTTTGGGACTGGGAATGGACCAGTTTGAACTGGGAATGGACCAGTTTGGGACTGGGAATCCCAGTTTGAACTGGGAATCCCCAAATTTGGGACTGGGAATCCCAGTTTGGAACTGGGAATCCCCAAATTTGGGACTGGGAATCCCAGTTTGGAACTGGGAACCCTAAAAATGGGATTTTTTTTGGCATTTTCCCCCCAGATTTTTGGGATTTCCCCCCAATTATTTGGGATTTTTTCCCCTCCCAGATTTTTTTTGGGATCCTCCCCAGATTTTTGGGAATTTTCCCGGTTTTTTTTGGGAATTTTCCCGGTTTTTTTTGGGAATTTTCCCGGGTTTTTTTGGGAATTTTCCCGGGTTTTTTTGGGAATTTTCCCGGGTTTTTTTTGGGATTTTCCTTCCCAATTTTTTGGGGATTTTCCCCCCAATTTTTTTCATGATTTTCCCAGATTTTTTTTTTGAATTTTCTACATTTTTTTTTTAATTTTCCCAGATTTTTTGGGGGGGATTTTCCCAGATTTTTTTTTTTTTTGGAATTTTCCCAGATTTTTTTCAGAATTTTCCCCAATTTATTGTGAATTTTCCCGGATTTTTTTTGGGATTATCCTGGATTTTTCCGGGGATTTTCCCGGATTTTTTTTTTAGGATTTTCCCAGTGTTTTGGGGGGGATTTTCCTGGATTTTTTTTTAGGATTTTCCCGGATTTTTTGGGGGGATTTTCCCGGATTTTTTTTAGGATTTCCCCAGATTTTTTTAGGATTTTCCCAGATTTTTCGGGGAATTTTCCCGGATTTTTTTAGGATTTCCCCCGATTTTTTGGGGGGATTTTCCCAGATTTTTTTAGGATTTTCCCAGATTTTTTGGGGGGATCTTCCCGGATTTTTTTTGGGATTTTCCCAGATTTTTTGGGGGGATTTTCCCAGATTTTTTGGGGGGATTTTCCCGGATTTTTTCGGGGGATTTTCCCGGATTTTTTTTAGGATTTTCCCAGTTTTTTTGGGGGGATCTTCCCGGGTTTTTTTTGGGATCCCCCCCCCAGATTTTGGGGTCCCCTCTCACCTGCGGGGGGCAGGGGGGGCCCCTCCCCCCCCGCTCCGATCCTGGCCAGGAATTCGTAAATCCGCCCAAAATCCACCTCCAAATTCCCGGGATTCGGGGCCGATCCCGGATTCTGGGGCCCCCCCGCTCCCGGGGGGCTCCCGGAATCTCGGGAAGCTCCCGAATTTTGGGGGATCCCGGAATTCCGGGGGGGTCTGGAGTGCTCCAGGGTCAGGGGCTCCGTGGCCGCCACCGTCAGCACCTGGCGGGGAATTTTGGGGAATTTTCAGGGAATTTTGGGGAATTTTCAGGGAATTTTGGGGAATTTTCAGGGAATTTTGGGGATTTTTGGGGAATTTTGGGGAATTTTGGGGAATTTTGGGGAATTTGCAGGGAATTTTGGGGAATTTTGGAGGGATTTGGGGGGATTTTTGGGAATTTTGGGGAATTTTGGGTTTTCTTGCAGTTTTTGGGGGGATTTTGGGGGTTTTTGGAGGAATTTTGGGGTTTTTGGGGGGAATTTTGGGGGG